TACGACTATTTATAACTAGTAAGTAAAGTAGTATGCACATACGTCGACAATATAGTATGAGTAGAAGTACGAACTACCCCCCCCCCCCCCCCCCCCCGATCAAAAGTGCCAACCATAACTCGTTTTTTGACCTGGCTCTTTGGCAAGGGTTTTTGTATCTTCCCCAATCACCCTGTATAAGGTGACCTTATCAATTATCATTTGATACTCATAACAAACTATTCTAAATATTCTTTGAGTCCCCAGTACTCTTCGGATTCCTCAAGTCACTTTGGATCCTTTGTCCAAAATGACCATTCCAGTTACTTAACTGGTATACTAAGGTTACATTACGTGCCCTTTCTCAACACCTGTTTATGACCTGATTCTCATATGCCATGTATCACATTTACCAGAAGGATTATTTTTCGTTACTGATGACCTACAGACATCGTCAGTCAGAGTGGTTTGTGCTGTTTGTCCACAGACCACTTTATCATTCTACCTACGTCCTCAGACCGGTACCTCTTACCATAGACACTGTCAGACAGGAAAGGGGATAAATCCTCTTTGCATATTCATATGATCACTATTTCTCACTTCTTTGATCAATCCAATTTCAATCATTGTTGTGTTCAGGGAGGGTCTTGAAGGTTTTGTTGCCTCCACTAATGCCTTTTGAGATGCTAGACAATGACTTTGTGTTCTGGGCTCTCCTCCTTGAAGGCAAGGAATCTTCTGCAACTCATGTCTAATCAGATTTGTCACATTTCTACATCCTTGAATTGCTCACTGGAGGACATTGTGCAGACTGGTATGTGCACCTCCCCCAATACTTTTCTCTCACATTATTTGTATGACCTGGGAGCATCTTCATCTGAGGGTTTTTGTCTACCCCCCCTGTAGCTATCTTAACCACTTCCCTAGATTACATAGAGGGGTGAGTATTTTCATTACTACCTTTCAGAATCCCACTCTGTGGCTATCATGATATAAAAGACTGTTTGGTTTAAAAATTAGTGATTGATTTATATTTGTGAGTGAATGTTTTTATAATTTTTAAGTTTTGTTATAATAAGAGTTAAAAGCAGACAATTATAGAAGGTTTTGTTAATAACTAATTGGTGTCGAGAATATAGAAAGTGGCCAGATGACTATGTAATAAAGATATAAATAGCATGAGATGAGTGGGAAGCAGTAGACAGACAACAATAGACAAAGAGAATATAGTTGTGTGAAGTTAAGTACCACAAAGGTGATAGGCCTAACATTTAATGTGTTAGAGTGAAACTAACAGTATGAAAAAAAAAAAGATAAGAAGGATATTTTTATTCTGTAAAAGCTTGGTTTTGAAGTAATTTGATCAGGCTGGGTACATTTTGATAAAAGGAACAGAGGATCTTTAGAAGAAAGAAGACCAAAACGAATTATGGTAACTTGCGCCACAACTGTAAGTGAATCACAAACAGAATACTAGTACAATAGTAATATAGAGAAGATAATTCGACTTGTCAACTGAAATTCTGAAGTAATTAAATAGACCTAAGAGAACTATATATAAATAGTGTTTATGTTATGCCTGTAATCTCCATAATGTGCAGACTTTGTTGTACATACGTTTATTTGTTCCGAATAAATAAATAAATAAATATATATATATATATATATTATTTGAAAAGAAGTAAAGTATGTGCTGTTTATTTATTGTCAAATTTATCACTAACAAGTTACAGATACCTACTGTAGAAGAATCCTAAGCCCAACAACAACATAGTATATATTTATACTCTTAAGAAATATAAGTAAAACCCATTTATTTTGACAATTGGTAAAAAGAAGTACTTATATTATTTTAAAACTCTGACAGTGGTGAGTGCTGCTGAGACAGGTGTGCTTCTGTTGAACCAATTCTGCACTAGCAAACACAAATCAATATATTTATATGTAGGATGCAACAGGTTTTGTAGAAATGGGGTGTTTCATAAGACCACCTAGAGGCTGATCAGGTGGTATTACTGTATTATGCTGGATTGCCACTCTTGAACTATCATGAGTTAAGCATAAAGGGATGTTTGTCCATCCCTTCTGATTGAATAAATCAGGATTTGCTATTAATAATTTAGGGAACTTGGTTCACCTATTGCACTGTTTCCAGAGCACTATCCCTCAGGACTTTCCAGCATGCACTACCCACCACCTCCAGATTCTACTACTGGAATTAGGGTGTCCTTACTACACCCGGTTTCCAGTCACTGGGGTGGTGGACAGAGGCTTTTCCTTCAGAGTGTTAGACCAGGGCTCTTGTATGTTTTTTTCCCAGATGTCGGTAGGAGAGGCACCAGCCTATGCAGGAGCCTACTTCTAATACTGGTACAGATTTGACACTCTGCACTCTGGTTGGGTTGAATGTGGCTCTTTTTCTTGATCATTATTGGTTCAGTACATTGTTCATGGAAGAGTGGTCCATTGTCTCCTTGTAATTCTGTACACAGATTGGTCCTATCCTGGGTCATTGGTTGAGCACAGTTTGTTCCACATCCTCCCCATAATTCCAGGGGCAAGTGGAATTTACCTTGCCCACATGGTTGGGGAGTGAGAATGAGTGTTCATAATCCCAGACTCGATGAGTTCTGTTTCCTCAGGTTGGGTAAGGCAATACACGATCCCATCATTCTGAGCCTGGGGTATTTTAGGTATTTTCTTGTGAATGACATATCTCAAATGGCCAAAAATATTTATTATATTAATCTCAGATCAGTTTCTAATTATTACAAAGATTAAAGGGTGCATTGTTACTCACTTTAGTGATATAACACAAAAAAACTTGAAAAAAAAGATGTTGCAAAAGTCTTCACCTCCGCTCAGCTTTTACCATCATTGATTTACCTATGTCACTATCCTGCTAAAGTAAATACAAATGGCTCCGTACAACTCTATCAAATACCAAAGTATATTATAGAGCCATGTGAAAAAATACTTTAGGTCATATAGAACCATCAGTGTTGATTTAAGCAGATTATTTTGAAGGTTAAAATGTGGCTCACATTGAGAATAATGGGAGAAGATTGTTCAGAAGCACATATCTGGAGAAGGCTACAAATCAATTTTAAATTTGCCATTAAGTAATGTAAAATCAATTGGAAATAATTCAATAGTGTGTCACACTACCTCAACCTTGCCAAGATCAGGTCGTTCTAAGAAAGTAACAAAATCATCAAAGAAGTGACTGTCAACCCAATAGTGATACTGAAGGATCTGCAGACTTCAACAGCAGCAACTAGATTACTGTACACACCTCAACAATATCACGTACCTTACACAAAAAGGCTTGTATGGTAGGGTGGCAAGAAGGAAACCACTACTGACGAAGATGCATCTTAGATTGTGAATGGACTATATCCGTAAACATTTCAGTAACCCTACAACAATGTGGCAGAAAGTTCTATGGTCAGATGAGACCAAAATAGAACTTTTTGGGTTAAATGACAAATGGTATGTATGGCAGAAACCCAACACTGCTCATGACCTGGCAAATACAGTCCTAACTGTCAAGCATGGTGGTGGGTCTATAATGCTGTGGGAATGTTTTCTGCAGCTGGCACAAGAGAACTTGTATGCATTCAAGGAATTGTGGACAGTGCAAAATATACACTGATTTGGAGGTAAACCTGAAGTCAGCTGAAAAACTAAAACTCAGTCGAAGGTTTACATTTCAACAAGACAATGATCCCAAACACAGATCAAAGGCAACCCAAGAATGGTTTCAGAGAAACAAAATTAAAGTCCTTGACTGGCCAAGCCAAAGCCCAGACCTAAATCCATTCAAATCTGTGGAGAGGCTTGAAAATTGCTGTGCATCGAAGACATCCTTCCAAGAACTGTGGGATATATGCAAGCAGGAGTGGATAGAAATATCTCCAGCATACTGTGCAAAGCTTGTGGAGGGTTATCCAAAATAACTCAGCTGTCATTGCTGCCAGAGGAGCTTCAACCAAATATTAATTGCATAATCATGTGTTTCAAGATTATTTTTTTAGGTTATATCACTAAAGTGAGTAACAATGCACCTTTTGCTCTCTTTAATCATTAAAAACTGATCTGAGATTAATATAATAAATATGTTTGGCCATTTGAGCATGTCTTTTGCAAGAAAATAACTAAAACTTATTACCAATTTCAGTGGAACTTTGGCTGTTTGATTGGGGCCTGGCTAATGGTGATGACAAATTATGTAAAATTCTACCCACAGTATTTGAATTAAGTTCCAGGTGAAGAGCATACCTGTTCTGGATGTAGTGTGGTTCCCCACTAAGGTTCCAATCTTCTATTGATCTATGAAGATGCTTTCTGTATGGATAATGCCCTTACTGGCCCATCCACCTTATCAATTTGGAATTCTAAGTGTTTGAGAGGAGGTAAGTATGTTTTGGAAGATAACATTTTCTTAAATCGAAAATGTATTTCTAATAATACTTATCTCCTGTTTGTTTTTGTTTTTTTGTCTTTTTAAGGTTCATTTCATCTTCCGTCACAAAAATCCTAATAATGGCACTGTTGAAGAAAAACATTGGAAGAAATCTTCTTCAGTCTCCAATCTTGATGTTATATTCAAAGACAAAAAACCTCATCTTTTTACATTAAGTACGTGATTTTGTAATTGCCAGATTGATACATGATGATAAATAAAGAATAACTTTGATTAGTTTCATTATTTGGTAGATATAATTGTTAATTAATTTGTGGATATCTGTATTTTATTTCCGATTTGGTTTGAAAGAACTTGTAAATGTATTTCACTGCACTATTACAGAATTGTAAATTTTGTTTTGTTCTCTATAGAGATAACACCTGATAACCAATTTGAAGTTCTTGTTGACAAGAAGTCTATTCAAAAAGGCAGTTTACTAGAAGACATGGAGTAAGTACATTGATTAATTAATTAATTAGTCATCTATAAGTTCTTGTGCTTTTTTTTTCTCCTTTGTGCTTTAGTACTTTGTGCTGTATAAGCATTTTCCATCTAATTCAAAGCAGTTTAGTATTTTTAATTTATTTATACACCCATGAAAACAATAGGATGACATCAAGCTTGGCTCCAATTTGAAAATAACTGCTAAATAGTTTACAAAGAGCCAACACAAAAGTATTTTTGTGTTTCTGAGCTCCTGTAACATATTTTAAAGTAAAAGCTGTGATTTAAAGTGTTCTGAGAGTGTTTCTTCAAAGATTAATTCATTATTGAATATTGTATCCTTTATATATATGTGACTGTGATTAATTGGTGTTTCAACATAGACATTCACCACACATACAAAGCTGATTTCTTAAATCATTCTGATTGTATTCAAAACCTGTTAGGTTGGTGCAAAAGTGGAATTTCTTGAACTTGGCATTTACTCTACACATTACTTTTCTATATATTAAGTAAGGATTGATCAAGTTAGTTTTAGAATATATATATTTATGAACTGTGCTGTGTATTTTCAAAATACGCAAGTGAAGCTTATATGCTAAAAATGTTTAATATTCATTTTCACATTAGTGATAATATAGTGCATGTGATTGTTGTTTATTATACAGAAAATGCATTTGCATTTAAACCCATAAATTTTTGTGTGTTCTGCCGGAATTATTTTTATGATTTCCTAGTAATTATCACTATACCTTAAAAGTTTTCTGGTCTATTTATAAAAGGTAGCCAAAGAGACAGAAATGTTATTGGATGCTTTCACCATCTTAAAGGTAAATTGGGATTTTTGGCCAGGTGCTGATAGCATCCACTCAGGTTTAAGGAGTTAAAGATAAACTTTCTAGGGGTGGGTGTTAAGAACTATAGCATCAAAATATCAAACTTTTTTCAACACAGATACCTCAAGGTAGCTATAAGATATGCTGTATATAGTGGTGAAAATTAAATTATTAGAGAAAATCAGGTTTAGTTTCTGTAAAACATTAGCATTAAAATCAGATTTTAATCTTAGATTTTTATTTATTTTTCAGTCCTCCTGTCAATCCACTAGCTGAAATTGATGACCCCAGTGATACAAAACCTGAGGACTGGGATGAACGAGAAAAGTAATTGTTCACATTATTTAGATGATATGTTAATATTTATTTTATTAAATGTTTTATTATCTCATGAAGTAAACAAAATTTAAGGTATTGTTTTGTGTAAAATTCTCTAAAATGCCTTTTTCTTGTACATGTTCTTTGTTTCTCATAATCATTATAAACTAAATTCTGTTGCACGAGTTATCTACCTTACAGAATCAATGATATAACTTGTTGATGTAAGTGATTCAAGTTGAAAATTCATTGCTACAAATATAATGACAAGGAATTGAGCCCTTTGAGTGATGTGATTTTTCATTTAATTATAGGATTCCTGATCCTAATGCTGAGAAACCTGATGATTGGTATGTTGATATTCTAAACTTTGTGTTTACTTGTAGTAAAAATGTCTCTCTAAAATAAAATCTTGTCTCCTTACAGTATACTTACAAACATGTACTATTATATAATATATGAAAAAATTTAAAATTCGCATACATGAGTCAACTACAGAAGTTTTCATATAACTGATTTGTATATATCATAACTGATTCATGAAAGCTATTTTAAGGTTGCTCATATCGATTACCAGTCAAAGCAAGTATTTTGAAACCCGAGCATTTTTTAACTTGTTGTAAGGTGACAGAAATTCAAATCAATTAAATAAGTAAGGCATTGTATAGAGAGCAACAGAAATTAAATTTGCATAAATAAGCTTGACACATGAGCAGTGGTTTGCAATTCTATTGAGATTGTGTAGTATACATAATCTTATTAAAGCAATGGGAAATAAAATTATATTTAGTTATTCATTATTCCAAAAAGTAGTATTTTAGGAGGATAGTGAGTATGTTTTTTTTTCTTTTGTTTGTTTGTATATTTGAAATGAAATGAAGGAGATTACAATTTTGAGAAATCTCAAAACATAAAAGAGAAAAATAGTGTTATTAACTATAAACATAACAATGTAAATGTTGCTTTCTAATGTGTTTCAAAGAAAGAATTTTTGCTGTATAGTTATTAATGATTCATTCTAATGAAACCACATACAAGTTAGCCAAAAATAAGTCAGAAAATAAAATATTAAGTATTTGGATAACTCCATCTTGAGTTCAGTTTTCAAACATAAGAAAGCTTTCTTTGAATTTACTATACTTGTTTGGAATTACTGAATTTGACACTACATTGTGAAATTATAACAGACAGTAGAACTCTAAAAACATTTATTTTTTGAAAATTAGTTCATAACCTTATTTTTTCTATTTACAGTATTGATGAAATTTTAAATTGAACAGTGTATGTGCAAGGGGTGAGATATGTAATAAAGATAAGAACACGGGCTGTGGTCAAACTGGTTCTATTTCTTTGGGTTTTTGTTTTATGAAACATACAAAAGATGAAATCTAAATATTTAGTTAAATCATCAGTGAAATTTCATAAAGACAGAGATCTGAAAACAATATAGACATTACAAACATAAATTTGATTCTTTATGTTAAGGTAATATGCTCCAAATGACAAAGTATTTTGCACTAGAATAGCATGTTTTTACAGAAGTCTGAGTGTCTTTCACTTACACTTGGACCCTCTATAATGTACTAATGTAAAAGTTTACTGTATCAACACTAAAGTATATGAAATAATGATTAAAATATTGGGACTTGAAATGGGAGATTTTTAGGATGATGGTCAAAAGATTAAGATTTAATTATGCTTGTCACACACAATTTCTTATAGTAAACACTGAAACATGCTGTTATGAGATAAGACAATATATTTACTTGATCCATGCCTTAAAGATGATTGCTCCAATACCAGAGAGAAATGGTAATAATATGGAAAGTATTAAGCTGAACAATAACAGTAATTGTTATTATAAAACTTGTTGACAAGAAAGATAGAAAATGAATATCTAAGAACTCATGTATTCATTATGCTTATAAATACCCAGCTTGGGCATGGGTGCAAAACTTATCTCAAATATAAACCATACTGATGCACCATGGTAAGAATTATTGAATAAACATTAAGTAAAACAACAGTGGTGAAACACTTGATTGATTTACAAATTAATTTTTTATTAGATAATAGTATTTGTTTGAAGGGAATAGATTATCAAAACACTTTGTATCAAATATTTTAGGGATGAAGATGTCCTAAGATTGATTCCTGATCCCAATGCTAGAAAGCCTAAAGGATGGTTAGATGAAGAGCCAGAATTTATTCCAGATCCCAATGCTAGGAAGCCTGCTGATTGGTATGTGTTTGTGTCAGTACTTTTTGTTTAGCTTGAACGTTAATAAACCTTTCCAAACATGTGAATTCAGTAATAACCTGTTTTATATTGTTAATTTAAATGTTGTTTTCATAGTTATTGATAAATCGATTTTGAATTACTCTTACTATATGAGTCTATCATAAAAAGAAAGATCTCAAGTATGCTTAGTAAAGTCACCAGTTGTCATTTTAGTTTCTCAAAAATCTTATATTTTTTATTTTATCCATTGGTCATAATGGTCAGGTTTATATTTTGGATATATTGTAAGATATATGTAGTTAAAATTTTTAAAAGTAAGTGGAAGTGTATTATTTTCAATATATAATAAAACCCCAACTTACCATTTAGAGCAGAAAAGTTATGACTTTGGATTTAAATATTATATGGCAAGTCTCTTTAAGAGTACTCTAAAAGATTTGGATTTTGGCCAAAAAGCTTTTAATATTTTTACTGCATAAATGTATAATAGAAAGATACAAGAAGTATCAACTTGTATCCAATAAAAGTAAAGAAGATATTAGCTCTTTATTTAACATAAACTCTCTCAATACATGCTCAGTCAATTTCACTGATCATATGACCTCTTTATACTCATTTAAAATCTTCATAGATTTGATGCTACTAACTTTTAATATAGTGTGTATATCTTTGCGAAATTTAGCAGACTTTAAGTAAACATTACAAGTCTTTTGTACACAAAAAAAATCAGATTTTTTAATGAAGTATTTTTACTAAAGATTTTTTGTGAATATATCGAGTATTTCAATACTTTGTTTTGAATAGTCCATGTGCAAAGTGATTTTCATGTTCAGATTAAAAATACTTTTCTTCATCTCGAAAGTCTCAAATTTCATTTGTATAATCTCTAAAAGCTTCTAAATATATTTCAAATGTTTGTTTTCAGTAAAACTTTATATTTTATTTGTTATTTTCTCTACCCTAACTCTGTATAAAGTTGATAAATTTGACTGACCTTGTAACCACCAAAAAAAAGATCTAAATAAATCTAAATCACCCTCTTTTTCTTTCTAGAATGACTTCAAATTGTAACTTGAAACTACATTCTTTATCCTAAGTAGCTTTACACTCATAACTGTATACATCCATTTATAATTAAATGTTATTGTTTTATTGTCCTTTGAGTCATGTCTAACTACTATTCAGGCTATTATAAGTTGTAAATCACTTGGAGAACATGCAGCTCAAATTACGCTACCTACATGCTGCTCACATGCATGCCTCCTGAAACATTTTAATTATTATCTATTTTACGTAATTTATCCTTAACTAACCTAAAGGGATCCCTATTTTACATTTTAATTACTTTTATAAAAATAACTAAAGAATAAACATGATAAACAAGAACTAAAGTATTTACCTGTGTTGTTATTTTTTTTTGCTGTTGACTGTTAATTACACTTAACCCTACTTTTTTATAATAATCATAGTAATTCATAAAATAATTATTTAATTAAATATTGCACCAAAGAACATAGAATAATAACATGCAAAAAGCAGACAATTTCTTCTAACTATCATTAAACTCCTGATCACATTGCAAATAAGTGCCACTTGTGTTTTTTGTACTAAGAGCTAGGGGGTATTAAGATAGTATTTTGTTTTCCAGGGATAATGATATGGATGGAGAGTGGGAAGCACCCTTTATTAGTAAGTTTATTTGTTGTTTAATCTCAGTTGTTTAATATTGCCAGAATGTATTGTTGTTTCAGTACCTTTTAGGTACTGTTTACATCATCTACATATGTTTCTTGTCTTGTTGAAAATGCTTTTTTATAAACTACATGTATGTAATTTCATTATTCCTGCAAAAAACTTACTATTTAGGCTGGATGAAGGAATTAATCTTGAGATTACAAAATCAGGTGGGCCTGATGATGGTGGCATAGAGCATTACAAAAAAATTTCTTTTTAGAGCTATGCATTGTTTCTGGTACAACTAATTTTATTCTGCAAAACTTCAATATTGCTTTTAATATTTTACCTATGCACGAGTTCCATTTAATTTATTTACTTGGATTGTAATTTTGCATTAAGTAGAACATAAGTAATGAAATATTAAATATAAATACATTGGATATAAGGTTTATATATATGCAGTTTTATACTATTAGCAGTACCTGCAGTTGAGCTTACAAACATAAGATTATTTGTAGTATGCCTTAGTGCTAAAAGCCTAGAGTTAAAAATCCTTCATTTCTGTTGTTTTGAAACAAGGATGCCTGAAAGTCAATAAACTTTCTTTAAACGAGTTAATTCTTATGTTTAAGTTTCTATAAGTCTATTTCCTTTACAGTTAAGATTTTACTATTATTTCCAACATTAAATGATAAAATTTTAACTGTTATATATAAAGGAGGAGAATGATGACTAACCCTTGTGAAAGCTGCCTATTAAGCTTTGATGTATAAATGGATCAAGCTCAATTTACTTAAACCAACAATAAAAGAATTCATTATATTGCTGTTTTAGAATTATGTTTTAATTTAATATGTTGTTTTTTATAATGATATAACTAAGATATGATAGCTATTTAACTTAATTTAACTGACAATGTACATAGTATTCCATTGACAGTTGTTCTTGTTAAAACATTTTGTTCTGCATCATTCTGAATGAAGAAGGCTAAAGTTACAATTGAAAGCAGTTGTTTATTTTGACTACAAAGTGAAAGATGCAATATTAAATTAACTGTTTACACTAGGTTAAAGATTTGGCACTGGAAAAAGTTTTTTTTAATTTATCTTATTTTATTTAGAATACTGTCAGAAGACAATGTTTATTAATGTGAGAAAAACCAGGATGATAGCAAGATAACATTTCACGTTGAATAAGGAAAATGAATATGATAGCACATGAATAAATCACTGTTTACATATTGAAGAATATGGTGCAAAACATAAAAATCTCTTTAGATGACTGAGTGTAAGATGATACCTGAATAATTTCTACTGACTATTGATGAAAGATAAATATTAGTGGTTATTCTCAGTAAAGGATTTTTAAGGAGTTAGAAGTAGTTCTAAATGGAGGAGGATAAGAAATTAGTTTTAATGCTTCTGTTTATTGTGGATAAAAGGCATACTTTAAATAATCAAATCTCTTTACTTTGGATTAGAAATGAGAAGAAATATAGTACATGAGTATCTGCTTTGGATGAAAGTGAATGACAAGATGCCCAACATATATGGTCATTACTTTGGATAGATAACAGTACAAATAGTCTTTTTTTATATATGGAATTAAGAATTATGGAAACAGTTACTGCTTACTCATGATGAAGAATAATAAGATATCAAATATCGATAACTTTATAGGAAGGAAGATATAAATATAAGAAATAGTTACTGGTTGTTCTGTATGAAGGAAGGGAAGACAGTAACAGTAGTTGTGTGATATGATTTAAGGAACAATAAGATATTAAAATTAGTTATTAGTTTAGATAAATTGAGGAGGTATCTGACGTAGTCACTATTTTGTATGACGTGAGGACTAAAATTTGTAATTAATCAGTATTTATTCTGGATGAATTATGATAATATACTAAAATTATCTATAATTTTGAAAATGTAGTATGAGGTAGGAGTACTTACTACTTTTGAGTAAAATAGTACAAGGTATTAAATGAGTCACTTTTAACTGTAACTGAAAGATGAGATATAACCACTAGTCAGTATTTTGGACAAAGGATGAAATATTTGAATCAGTCAATAATTCAGATGAAAAGGACATTAGAAATGATCACTTCCCTGAATGAAGGATAAAGTATTACACAAACAAAGAATAAGATATTACAGAGGGGAGGGATTACTTGATAAAGAAGGATAAAATACTAGAAGTAGTGAATTTAATACAAAAAATATAAGATATTAGAAACAGTCACTTCTTTAAATCAACAATCCTGTTACGTCTTCGTTTGCTAATTAACTTTCCGTAACTTCGTTCCGACGAAACTTTAGCAACACAAGTCCTTACTTAATAAAATTGGTTTATTCTTTCTGAATATAACTTCACGATACACTTGATTTCAACGTTCGTGCTAAAACAAACGCTATAATGAACGTTAACTTCAACAATACTTTCTCACTGCAGATCAATTACTCACTACCTACACACACATTGTCCCGTCACGTTGTGAACGTCTTATTTTATTTATATACCAGAAAAACATATATCTAGTAAATGCTAGGGAATTCACAAAGGAACAAGATACTTCTAGAAAATAGGTGGCGTGACAATAGTCACGTGACCTCGCTGACGCAACAGTATGATTGTGTGCATCATAAGTTTACTTAGCTGAATAAATATGGGTTGTATTAGCCTGTAGTATAATTAGATGGCGAGTCAATTCAGGTTGACCCCCAGCTACTTTTTCAACGTCTTACAACAGCTGTAACTAGATCGGAAGAAGACATGTCACACATATTTGGATATGAACTTTGTAGTATTCCATCTGCACTGTTTTATCCATCAGGTTTTCTAAGGCAACCACAAAAACCAGCATTAGCTGATGCGATTTGGGTTTTAGGAGACTGTGGAAGACAAGAGTTTATTACCGAGAATGTTCAACATGTGTTAGATGGAGGATTTCAACATGTGTTAGATGGAGGATCATTATTACAGCGCATGCCATGGCAACAAGGCACAGATTTTGCAGATATGTGTAATGTGTACGTAGATTATAAATCTAAAAAGTATGTGGATCCAGTAATTGTGTTTGATAGCTACCAGTAAGGACCATCAACAGAGGATGTAGTCCATATGCGGCGAACGCATGGAGTTTTCGGTTCGAATGTTAAATTCAAAGACAATACATCATTCAAAGGAAAAAAAGAACACTTCTTAACGAACTATGAAAACAAACAACGTTTTATTTACATGCTCGGGCGTCGACTTGAAAATAGGGGATGGAAAGTTGTATATGCTGAAGACGATGCAGACCTTTAAATAGTCAAGACTGCAGTTTCATGTGCAGAAACTAATGAAACAATGGTGATCGGTGAAGACACGGATCTTCTCATATTGCTATGCTATCACGCTAATACTCAGAACTGTAATATCTTTTTCAAGTCAGAAGGGAAACAGACTACGTACAAAGCGGTGAGAATTTGGGACATTCGACAAATGAAGATGACACTTGGAGCAAACACTTGTCGCTATATGCCGTTCGTTCATGCTTTGATGGGTTGCGACACAACATCTCGCATTTATGGGATTGGAAAAGGGGCAGCACTTAAAAAACTAGGATATGACCAATATTTAAGGGAGAGTGCAGAAGTGTTTTGCAATCAGGGTAAAACAAGAGATGAAATACAAAAAGCCGGAGAACAAGCACTTATATGTCTGTATGGCAGAGTTCCAATTGAGGGATTGGATTTATTGCACTTCAGACATTTTGCACGAAAAGTAGTTTCAATCACAACACACGTACAGGTACATACACTTCCTCCTACATCCGCAGCCGCAAAATACCACAATATAACGCAACTGTAAAGCGAATTGTGACACTAAACGTTGTACATATAGGAAGCATGGACTTCAGTGTTCTATAGGCTGTGGAGAATGTAGGGGTGTTAACTGTACAAATGTAACACAATTGACATAAGCTGACATAAATGAAGATACAATATAAAGAGGACAATGTGCCAGCTTCAAGATAGGATCGTCCATTTGTAAAGGAAATATATAACGAATTTAATCCTATTTTAAAATCAATGTGCGATATATATTTTAATAACGCCGCAAAGTCAACATAACTGGTTCTGGTTTGTGTATTAAATTAAGTAATACAACGTTGGTGAATAGATATAGCAAATGTTTATAGAAAGATGTGTGTGTTAAGTCTCATTTTGTATACTCGTTTTCTAGATGTGTCTGTCATTTAAAAGAATATTGTTATATATTTTCTTTTGATGTGTGGGGTAATATATATAAGTTAAAGAGGTGAATAATCATTAATTTGGGCTTCAGTTTAAACGTCTTTAATTGGGTTCATCTTATTAACTATTATATATTATCCATTTGTGGATTTTTATTCATATATCAACGGAAAGAGTGTATAATGAGAGTATATGATTGGATATATCAAATCAAGTGTCTTTATTTTCATCAGATATGTTAATAAGAAAATGAAAATTTTATGCATTTCCCCTGTTTAGATTTTTCTAGACTTTCTTGTGTAACTTCGCAATACATGTCTCTAACAATAAATCAAAGCATTGTTTCTGTTGGAATTTGTTTGATGTTGAGGTATGTTTTTGCGTAGGCTGAGTGGACTACATAATGTTCAGGATAAAGCAAAAACAGTCATTTTTCAAGCATATTTTATACATAACGAGCGAACTATGTAAACAGAAAAAAACATTAAATTGTTTGTTTTATAGCCAAGTCACATTGGGCTATCTGCTGTGTCCACTGTGAGGAATCGAACCCCATATTTTAACGTTGTAAGTCTGCAAACTTACTGCTATCTTACTAGAGGACAGAATTTCAGTAGTTTTTTTCTTGTGCTACAAAACTCGTTCTCTTTGAAATGCAAAATTTACACCGAAATAAAGAAAAGGATACAGAGTATATACGCTTATCCAATGAGAGCAGGATGTCCAACTCCTCTCATCCTCACCCAAACAACAGATTCTTTGAAATTGTAATAGTGTCTCGAATTATTTCTTTGAATCATCTCCACCTACAGCTGGTAGATTTTCTTTTCCAATGGTGAAGATAGCATCTATCGTTGGCAGAATCAGTCTTCTTTGCAATTGTACATTGCTTAAGCTTTGGCCCATACTGCAGCCATCAGAAACACTGCTGCACAGTCAATGGAGTTGTTATGGTGTTAGGTGGATAACTGGCAACTACATCTTTGATTACTGTTGTAATTGTTCCCAGGGTTTCTTTGTCAGCAGTAACTCGACTGCTTTCTAGTTGGATACCCTTCTCTTTGTCTCGTATATTTTGGGTTTAGTGGTGGTACTTGGCCAGTTGACAAGTTGGAGGCCCCCCTTCCTCACTCTTAGTTTCCCTTGCTGCTACTAATAATGGAACTGATGGCGTGATTCCGACAGTCAACTAAGATACCTGATGCTAACATAATCATCTCCTGGATGACATACTTCATGCTGGGTCCCTTCCCACTTAGACAATCCTGGAGCATATTTCACATTCAGGGGGATACATCTTTGAAGGGTTGTCTTTGATTTAGATATATAGCGCTTCCACCAGAGGTGGGTACACTTCTGGTGCCAGCAACTCTTGGTTACAGGTCATTTAGTGAGTCAGTCTGAATGTTTTCTGGATGGCATGGCCAATTCCCGTTTGACGAAGATTTGCACCAGTTGGGTCATTTGCAGTTAGGCTGTGTTAGATATATACGACTGTTTCCATTTAATTTTAATAAAGGTTTTATGATTTAGACAGTTTATATAGTACGAGTGTTAAATTTAGTTATTTAATACATAACTCTTTACGAATCATACACTGTGTAGTTCAATTGTTGTCAACTGGCGATTATTGTATTATTGCGTCATGTTACTAGAACCTTCTGAGTTTTTCTAGTTTTTTCAATTGAGTATTATTGCATCACAATATATAGTAGTGTATTTAACGTTCTAGATCTCTGTTGGGGTATAAATACTCGTCGGAAATTAAGTTTGATAGTTAGATCTAGACTGCATAATTGTGAGTTTAGTCATAGAGAGCGTACAGTGGCGGTTTTTAAAGTGAAATTGTCACAGATTGTATTGAAATAACAGAGTATAGAATAATAATTCGTCTTGTCAGTTGTATTCTAAAGTAATTGAACCAGCCTGTGTGGACTTTGACGAAAAAGAAACAACCATTTAAAGCTCTGGATACAAATATGGTAGCCAACAGTTATCGTGGTGATTTTAACGTGAAATTATCATAGACTTTATTGTAATAACACGATAGGAAAAATAACTCGTCTTGTCAAATTGTGTTCTAAAGTTACTGAACCAGCCTGTGAGGACTTGGACGAAAAAGAGACAATTATTTAAAGCTCTGTATACTTCTGTGATAACGAACAGTGTAATCAGCATTTGTATACACGCTTGACTTGTTTAATATTGTTACGACAGCGGAAGTGACGTGACCCTAGTAACACGTCATGAGATTCTAGAAGGATCATGTCTGTTCGTGGCAACTCTAGTCTTTTCTACACGCCCTCTATTTTTGTATATTAGCGCGCTAGACAAAGCGAGACAATTAATCGGAATTGGAATTGCAGACAGGCAGAGATAAAGACGGAGAATTGAGTCAAGCGTGGTAGTGACCGTAAGTAAAGTGCATGAATCGTTGTGAATTATAGTGTATGTTTTAGTTAAAGTGACTGTAGAAATTCTGTGTATTATAAAATTGTATCGAGATATAATAAACTAGTTTTAATTAAAAAAAGGGCTTGTATCGCTAAAGTTTCATCGGAAAGAAATTATACGGGAAATTAACAAACGAACAGAGACATAACAATATATTGTTTTAAAACAAATGGTCTGTGTGCTGTTTGTTTATTGTTAAGATTTATTGCCAACAAATCACAGACACCTACTGTAAAGAATCCAACCCATATATGAAACCTAACAGACTGCCTGAAGGTTTGGCTCTGTTGGAGTTGATGTGGTTTTGGCTGTTACTCCCTCCATCACAGGTGTGTAGAGGCTTGAAATATTCCAGAGCTTCGTCAGATGCTGGGGTATACCTAACGCCAGGAAACTTCAGGGCTCTCGAAGACAGACATAATGAACCCTTGCACGTCAGATGCATTAGGAAAAACAAATCTTCATTTATTCATTTGTCTACAGTGAACATCAGACCAATTATATTATCAGAGTCCTAAGTTCAGTTTTGTAGTCCACGTCCTTTGCCAAAGAGGAAGCCCTGAGTATAATGATTTTTATTGAACCAGTTCTCTGCTGCATAGAACATTCAAAAGATTCTGAAACAAGCAGAATGGCAGAACTCTGGCTATTTGAAAAACAAAATGTCCAGAAGGGTAACGAATTTAAGTTTCTTAATTGAGATTGATCTTTTATTGAATATTAGAAATAATTCAGGAAAGAACATATCTCAGGTAATTTAATATAGAAAACGACAGCGAATGCTGTAAGCGATTATATTTCAAATTTCACTATGATTAGGCAGCTTGCACTTAAATGTACTAATCCTGTAAATTACCTTTTAAAAGTCATTATATACTTTTTGTTGAGTGTATTTCCAGATAAAATCTAACCAATTTTATAAAGTCATTTTAGCTTATGAATTCTGTATGTTATTATAAGAATTTCATGCAACCGTGTGGAACTAACCAAAGGTGTAAAGGCCAGCTTTGGTTATTTAAAGGAAACCATTGTAAAACATGAAAATATTTCTGTAAAGTTTTTCTTTGTTAGCGGGTTCTTTTGAATTATGAGATAAAAATAATTCAACATCCAGTCCACTTAATTAGACGAAATTAGTGTATTTCGTTTTTTAAACGTTTTTACAAGCTTAAGATACTTTTAAACTGTCGTAATTTGTTAGGCCTACTTTTAAAAATGACATCATATCTCTATAAGAACGTACTAGGGCTAATATACAATCAATCAAATTACTTGTACAAAGTCGCGTGATAAATTTCTTTGATCTCTACTAACTTTCTTTGTTTCTCAACTATCTCAACACTCCACGGAATGTCGTTTTTATAATCTACCCTTGTTCTAGATATTTCTAGAGCTAACATA